TGTTTGGATCCATAAGCGACTATTTTATAATGTTGCATTAAAATGCATCCCAAGCCAATATGAAATATATCATAGTTGACCTAAAATCTTCTAGTATTGTCAGGGAGGATCAATACTGAAGCAAAGGTAAGACGATACTTTAATTTCATAAAGCTTTCACCACATTCGTAATCTTAGACAAAAGGTATACACTTTCAAGTGAGTCAAGTCAATAGAGTAGCAATCTTAGGAAATCCATCAATGAATCGTCCATAGTAACCTGTCAAGCCAAGAAAACTAGGTACCTCAGCCACATTGGTGGGCGGATTCTAATTGATCACCGTTTTAACTTTGACCGAATCTACGAAAACTCCTTCACTCGAAATCACATAACCAAGAAAGAAAACTCGAACCAACTAGAATGAGCATTTCCTAAGTTTAGCAAACAGTGGGTTTCGACGAAGTGTCCCCAGCACTTCAGGCAGGTGGACTGCATGTTTTCCCAGGTTCTTGGAGTACACTAGGATGTCATCAATGAATATGATGACGTATTGATCTAATACATGTTGGAAAACCCTGTTCATGAGGTCCATGAAGGCAGTAGAGGCATTAGTTAACCCAAACGACATCATCTTGAACTCGTACATGTCGTATCTATATCGAAAAGTGGTCTTCAGAATATCTTTTTCTTTAATTCTCAGCTAGTAGTATCCCGATCTAAGGTCGATCTTGGAGAAAACTGTGGCTCATTGTAATTGGTCAAAAAATCGTCAATTTAAGGTAGGGGATAGTTACTTTTTATCGTTACTTGATTGAGTTCTCGGTAGTCTACATATAGTTTGAAGAAACTGTCATTCTTTTTCACAAATAACACCAAAGTGCCTTAAGGGGAGTGATTAAACTTCTTACCAAAAAGCTCAGAAAGCTGGTTTTCTAGTTCTATGAGCTCAGTACGACTCATGCGATAGGCATGTTTTAAAATTGGTTGGGTTCTAGGAATCAGTTCGATAAAAAATTCTCTCTCTCGCGAGAGAGGTAGATCGGGTAATTCGACTGAAAAAACTTCTAAAAAGTTGAAAGCAATGGGAATATAATACACAACAAGATTAACATCCATGTTCCTGTTTATTCAATTATTATGGAGAAAATAGATTTTTATTTTTTTCGGAGTTTGCAAGGTTACAACTTTACTTTCACAATCAATAATTGCCTTATATTTTTCT